ATGTGTAAAAAAATGATATGTATCCCCCAGTGTGCTCCAGGAGGGTGCCTCATTGAGTTGTGTATTCAGCTCAGCATCATCATGTTGGGGAAGCAACTAATCCAGAACAACATCTTTGAGATTGGCATCCCGTAAGTCCATCGATTTGTATGAAGATAAAAATGAAAAGAAGCAGTCAGGCAATAAGATCGTCCCTTGTATGTGTATTGCTAGTGTTTGATCTCATTTGGACATTGACATAATAACACCCACTTCTTTCCCCAGCCGCTTACTCTAACCCTGAAAATCAAAAATGAATACCTAACCCTTACCCTAAACCTATGCCAGTGCACTGAACCTATAATTGATGGCTACAGAAAAACCATTCGCTTTATACCTAACCGTAACTCAATCATAAACCTGACACTAAAACCACATTTTGAGCCTCAACAATGCCTTCAAACACACGGGGACGAGTGTTTTGTGACTGTTGGTCCCCACAAGTATAGTAGCATGCCAATTTTCTATTCCCACAAAGATGTCTAAACACACACACACACACACACACCTATACATTTGCTGACAATTTCTTGCAGCATCTGCTCTGCCCTTTCTTGTTCTAGTAACATTCCTTCCATGTCTGGACAGTGGTTTTGTGTAATAGCTTAGCGTTAACGTGCAAGTCTGAAAGCTCAAAGGTCATCTACGTTTATAACAAATGTCAACCTTGACACCCTTTCTAGCTTCAGGCTACACTTTTATTGTTGCTTTACTCCCTCACTCATTAGGTGAGCTTCATCAAAAGCTCTGTTAGTCATCTTGATGGATCTGCAAGTTGCAGCACATGCAATCATATCCGCATGCCATCCTTTCCACTGTTACACATTCATCTCCTTAAAAAAAGTTTCACACCTGGTAGAATTGCTGTGTGCAGTTTCCAATCTTTGTTTTTCTTTTGATGATGTACCTGATCCTAACAGTACCTGTCCGTATATCTAAGAGACTGATAAAGCCAGCTCAGAGTGTGTGGACATTATCAGTTTGTGCTAGTTATTGAACTAAAATCACGAGAAAAAAATGTACAGATAAAATAAAACAAATACTGGGTTAATCACAAGTATCAAGTCTTGAATTGTGTTTTTGAAGATTGTTACTGGACATTCCCTGTATCCGCAAAGCGTAGAATGCATCAAAATACACCTACCCAGTGCAACATTAATAACTCATTGTAGCAGTTGTTCATGTTATTTTTATTTTTTTAAACAGCAGCTGCATAAAATATTTAGGTGTGTGGCTCGTCACATGTGCCCTGTTGCTCCATGTGTGTTTATGCAAACAAAACATAAAAAATGTTTAGGCTGTATTGTATATCCCTTCACCAAACTGCAAACACACATGCATATTTATGGTTGTATTACTCATGTAAGAGTGCATTCTTAGAGAAACACCCATGCTCTCACTTTCTTTCACTGTCTCGTCAGTTCTCTGTTGGCTGTTCCCTTTTTCACTTACATAAAAACCCTAAAACATTCAGCCCCTGGCTGTCAGTTCACTGGGTTTTCAACAAACATCAGCATTTCAGCACCTCTGTAAATACTTATTTTGCTATTATGTTTCACAAGCAGTCTGCAAATCTTTTATTGTTCCAGCTAAGGTCTAGAGAGTTTTAACGACTCTGTGCTGTGCTAGAAACTCCAAATGCGATCGTTTTGTTGGAGTCATTGCACTCATTCAACTGCATCGGTGCCACCTATTTTAGTTTCCAGCTTTGATATCTTTTACTGAAAGTAAACAAGAAAGCAGGAATTGTGAGTGGAAGGTATTCATGCCCTGCCTGTGACAACTTT